AACCGCCACCCGGTATCGCTGCACTGTCCCACCTTACTATGTGTCCTAGTGTCGCCAGTTCTTGTTCGTATATTCTGCACCCCGTGCTTGCAAACATCTCGGGACATATTTGGCTCACCTACGCCGGGGTTAACGCGCACTTCACTTGTAGGTGACGAAGCAACACCGACTCCGCTCGGGAAAGTTCTCGATGCGGGGCCGGGTATTCTCTTCTTCTTTCCCTATGCCTCCTAGATAGATATGTGGGACTAACGTCCCAAAACCACCATATGATTATGATAGACGCCGTAGTGGAGGGCTCCGAAAAGTTGGACCACCTGGGGTTCTTTAACGTGCACCCAAATCTGAGCACACGGGCCTGCCTACAACATTCCCGCCTCCATCGGAAATGCAGCTGCCACAGCCGGGATTCAAACCCGCGACCGGCGGGTCAGTGCCGAGTACCTTAGCCACTAGACCACCGCGGCGGGGCTCCCTGTGCCTCCTGAGTATCCCGCCATTGTCGACTAGGTGTTCGGGGTCTTGTTCTTCGCCGACATCCGCGGGCATGCTCTCGCTATCGTCCCGGCACCTGATGAGTTCTCGGGCCACTGCGTCTGCCTTCTCGTTGCGGTTGTGCACGTTCGGTAGGTCCCCAATGTGGGCTGTGAACAACTCTATTGTCATGAAGGCGCGGAAGACAACGTACTGGAGAGCCAGGTCCTCTGAGGGACTAAGCGGCATGGAGCTTCATAGTGCTCCCGTTGCCAAAGAACGTGAACCCGGAGAAGGACTGGGAAAGACGCAAAACGAGAGCAGCAGCCCTGGCCAAGCAGCACAAGAGCGATTAGAACGCAGCCTTCGTCGACGTGGCTAAGAATTCGCGTGTACGCAATGGCAGCCATCCGTGCGTCAACGGGTGAGCTGATCACCCGTTGACGCGCGCGGATGACGCACGGAGCCCTCCTTTTAGAACTGTGTCATCCGTCTTGCAATTTCTTTGGGAGTTATTGAATTTTCTTGAGCGCCCACACACACGCGGGATCACAATGCGCGATTTGTTCGTAGAATTTTCGTCTGACTCACTTAAGAAGCAAAATCTACTTCACAATATGTTCTCTTTTGGTTATGAGAACGAAACTCACGCGCCTACACGGGTGTCTGAAATCCTTCTAGATTTTTGTTCAGCCAACTTTAAAAATTAAATATGTGCTGGTGTCGGTATACTTAACATCAGTGACCACTTTTCGATCTTTAAATTTATAAAGTCACTTGAAACGAAGTGAAGAAAATTCAACCCTACTCATTACAGAGTGATTCCTACTGAAAAATGCCTGGTTTTCCAAAATTCCTTTTTGCAGTACATCTAAGTAAATTGATACGAATCACTGAACCTGTACTCGCTTATGATATATTTATTTTGAAAATAACACAACTCTATGACCAGGCCTTTTTTGTTGTAGTGCTTCAAGCGAACAAAAATCTAGAAAGCCATAAATAGATGCATCACTTCTAGAAGGAATAAAAGAAGGGAATAAACTATTTGTCAAATTTAATAAAACAAAGTGAATCCACTACATGAGTCCGTTTAAGCAGTATAAAAATAAAATTAGGGTCTGATATAAAGCGGGCACGCACCGAGTATTACGAACATAGGTTTTCAGCCAATATGAATGACCTGAAGGCAGTATGAAATACTATGAATGATCCCTTATTTTCATCACATAAAAAGACTATCACGAGCTCATGGTAGAAGGTAAATATTCTCTGGTACATTACTCGCTTACATGTTAAACAACCATTTTGTGATGCCTAGGGCTTGCGAAATCTCCGCTCGTACCGAACCAGGCTGTGAACCGTACATTACCAAAAATATTACAAAATATATTTTTTCGGCCCCAATGACCTAAATCCTAAATACATTTCTTCATTTTAAATTTATCTAACAATTCGGCAGAAGGTCTTAACGGTAATAAAGGTGGGCCAGTACAAGCAATTTCATGGTATATTAGTTGGCCCCTCTCACATATATAGTTAGTTTGATTTGAGAAACTAGAATATTCCCTGATGAGCTCAAAATAGTCAGGGTCTCAATCAATGCGAAAGGTGGTAATGAAACGACCTAAATATTTATAGGCTATATCTGTCGAACCCATATATTACAAAAGTTATAGATCAAGTTTTATGCGTCACAATCTCAAGTTTTTTGCCCAAGAAAACATAATGACAAAACAGTAATATGGCTTTCAAAAGAAAGTGAGTACAGAGCCAGGTTTCCTGTCTGCCAAGGAAAAAATAATAGATAATTATGAAAATTAATCTTACACGCTTGAATATTCCTGGATTTCAAAAAAACTTTCGATTCAAATATACACAATTTTTTTATGAAATAACTCAATACGCATCAGATGTGCTTCGCCTAAATATTAGTAACAGATCTATTTCAGTATTTTGACACGCAGCGCCCAGTATTGAAAATGGATAAGATTAGGTACGGCGTCGTTCATCAGGGATCTGTATTAAGCCCGCTCCTGTTCTTTTGATTCGTTAATGATATTGGCATTAGATTAGGAACAACAGACATAAATTGATACGCTGACGACACAAACGTTTTTTTTTTCTGCCCTGCTGGACAGTTTGAAAAAAATATGGACAGCTTGGAAGAAAAAGAAAACGAGTGGCTCAAGCACCTATCAGTGTGGTTATTGACAAATAAGCTTGAACTGAACACCGAAAAAACAAAATGTTGTTTTTCGGAAAAAATAAAGTTATACCGCAGGCCTTTGAAGAATATTTCGAGACGATTTGATTGAACAGGTCACTTGCGAAACGTTTCTTGGTATTATTTTTCATGAAACACTCGACTAGACATATCAAAGAAAGTTTGCACTAGTCTTTCACTCTCAGTGGGGGTAATAAAAAAATCTGATGATTTTTAGGTATTTGGGTAACGAAGCAACTGTATTGTTTTTAGTATATTCAAGTGTTCATTATTGTTTATTATTATCGGCTAAGACGACTAAGGCAAACAAACAATGCCTTAATATATTACAGAAAACAAATGGACGAATAATTGAGGGGGTACATTCTAGAGCGCATTCTAGCACATTCATTCCCAAACACAACATATTAACGTTTGAAAGCGCCAGTAACAAAAAATATGGATGATAATCTATGATAAATTTAAACCTCATGCTATCGCATTTCACGATGAGTATTCTCGAAGACAGAACACATACAGCTTTAGACACATAACGTACTGCAGCGAAAGAATACGAATAAACAACGGTACACAAAGGCTACAGCATATCGTCCCTGAACTGTTGAATGAACATCCAGCCATTACTGCCTTAGTGCAAGAGAGCCGCTCAGTAATTGCGTTTAAAAAGACAACACACACATATCTCGTAATGCTTCAAAAATAATTTTCCTGTTTCTATGAAATCACACAGGTGTTTTTCAATTCACGCGTTAAAATTTGTGTTATATTTTTATTTAGAGAGTTGTAAATGCATGCTATTTTAGAAGTCTATGTATTTATACACAATCCTGGTTTTTATTGTCTGAAAAAAATATTCCACGACAAATTACTACAAGTTAGGTCTTACAGACAGGTCTCGAGGAATTAGTGTCTTTCTAACGATGCTTTTTAAGCTGTTATAAAAAAGTGTGAAACTGTCGCTACTTGTTTGTTTATTACAATAGTGTTTAAACGTACCCACATTAATGCTCCTTGAGTGCTTTATTGGCTAGGACGGGTGACGGCGCCTTGTCAGGCAATACTTTGCCTCTCTTCCTACTCTGTCCCTTACATGTCAGTGTGTACCCTGTCTCTCATCTATGATTGATTTGAATAAAAAAAGAGAGAATGGTTACAAGAAAACCACTCATATCACGGATTACTCGCATTAACCACAAAAATTCGTTTTCTTTTTATTTTGTTGTCACGTCCTAAAGCATACATGCATGGATGTTCACTGCATGCGTGCTTATAACAAGGCGTTTAAAATGCGTGACCTTGTTTGCATTTAGACTAAATTCACACCAGCACACCTTTCTTCATAAAAAGTCATCAATTCCGATTTGTCGGATTTGGGATGCATGGTATAATAACAAAAACAGATTTGCACATGCCAATTGCGCACAACTAAAACGCAAGGTTTGAAGAACAGTGAACACCTAAATTCAGAGAGCTTTTCTAGGTGGGAACACGACCACGGGGCCTTCTTCAGTGAAGTATCGCTCTCCATTACTGCGCGATAAAGTTCAGGTCTGAATTGATTGCCGCAATAGCGTACCAGCATCTGTGCATTACTCGCAGTCTCCAGTCAGCAATCATCAACTCAGTGACATAAATTATGGTGCTATTACGCATATAAACAAACCAAAATCTAGTTAGTTTTTTTCCTGAACTAGACTTATGCCTTCAACACGCAGTGCTAATTATAACCTAAAAGAGAGATATTTTTACAGAAGGGCTCACCGAGCTTTCATTAGTTTCTTGCATACTTGATAGTATGTGTTTCATGAAATAGCTGTCTGTGGCTTCAAGCTGGAAAATATCCAGTGGCAATTTCGTGCCTGTGTTTACGGATGCCTTTTTGCTTCTTCAGAATGATGTTTATGAAGGCTTCTTTTCGGCCATATGAGTCTCCTTAGATGCAGTAAAAATATAATATCCTTTCAACGACTGCCCGGCCTGGACGTATCCTATAGCTTTATCATATTCATGTCTTTCAGAGCACTTAGACAGCCCCGAAATTATTGCTTGTGTGAGCGCAAAATGTTCTTTAACTGGTGCATGTGAACTTTTCTTAACGTTGATACCTTTATTTTTTAACAAAAAAAAGTACCTCTGCTTCCACAGCATTTTCTTTGACGTGATCTATTCCATCAAGTCATCTGTTTGGAACCACTAAGAATGCTTGCTAAATGGCCAGCTTGACGAGAACAAGTGAAGGCGATACTTTTGAGCTTTTTGTCGGCCGTCTAAGCGAGTGTGGCTCTGACGTAACACCCACCTCGATTCGGGTCCAGTTGATTAGGCGAGAATAATGGCTGCTGAGGAGGAGACTGGGGGACCTCGGGGTTTGGCTCCCAGATGAACGCTACCTCTTGGGTCGCCGGCGGGGTCGAGTGCGCCGCCACAAGGGCGTCGCATCCACACGCCTGCCGCCCAGCTCTGCGTGCTGTGCTTCGGCCAGACCGATGGGGACGTCGCCGGGCTGAACGGGCCGGCCCAACCACATGCAGTGACAGGGACGCAAACGACGGCGGTGATGAACGGCGCTAAGAGGACACTCGTATCCACCGGAACTATGCCAAAACGCACACTGCCGTCCTCGCTAAAATCCACGAGTTCACGCACTGAAGTCTGGGCGCGTTTGAACAACATGCAGAGGGGATGGAATTACGACCGGGAAGACTCGGCCGGCCGACCGGGAAAGGGCGAGCACTGAGAAAGGGTGAATGTCGTCACTGGAGGACTCCTGACCCCCACGTGACGCCGCGCCGTGGGCCGTCTCTTGTCAATTCTCGCGGGCACGGGACCTGCTGACGCGTGCGCCCGAGATACTGGAATGTCCCCGGCTCTCAGCTGCGTGTATCAGCGGGCAGAGAAATGTGGAAACGCGTCGCGCCGAGTTCAGGGTTGGAGCGGAGAGGAAGGGAGCGTGAAAAAAACAACAATGAAAGGAATGAACGTAGTCGAGGTTTCCGCAGGCATTGAAACGAGCCGCGCTTGGAGATATCATTCTGCCTACTGCCGTTGCAGAGCAGGTGGATGCAACAGCTGCAAAGGTGAACGAGCGCAGTTGGCGCTTCATTTCATATCGTACAAGGACGACACGTCCAGAAGGATTGTGTGAAATATGATCCAATGTTGTCTGGAACATTACGTGGAAGACGTTTAATATTTAAAACAAATAAGTATTGTATTTCATCGTCTTTTACACTTGTTTACTGAACAGAAAAAAAGTTGGAGAAGCAGAGATGGCGAACCATATAACAAGGGCGCAATAAAAACGTAAAGATTTTCCAAGATGACCAAAAATAAACCTGACGGGAAAGTTTGCAAGACAAAGGTAGGTTGGAAAAAAGCCATTTGAAGGCTTATGCTGCATGAGAACAAAAAACACAGCTGTGTAAATTTCCCCAACATCTGGTGGGATGTGTAAGGCCACAAAATAAGCAAGAAACGCACTGAGTGTATTGTAACAGAATTTCACGAAAGAAGACAACTGAAAAAAAGAAAAAAAAAACTCCAACCACGGGAAAAGCAAAAGGCAAGACGTTTCGGCTCCCGTGCGGGGGTTCTGCTTACAAATGAAAATTTAGTGCGTGAGAAGTTCAATTACGTATCCTTTAAATGTGACATATGCAACGTATGTACACCTATGGAAAGGTGCCGTAATTGAGTGTGTACGCCATGGTCTGCATCGTGACAGGTTTAACAGGAAACCAAGATGACCAGTAACTTCAATTTACAGCAAAAGCTCTTATGAGGTCACAACATGGGCCCCGCGCAGCGCCGTAGTTGTCCGCCGCCACCGCCGCTGGTGTCCGTAACCACAATCGCAAGAAATGAGAAAAACTCAAATAAAAACTTCCACATATGGTGAAATAGTGAGATTTTAACCCAGGTCCACTGGATGCCAGCTAAGTATTGTACCTGTGAGCCAGGACAGTACTTGGGACTCGTTAACGAACTTGACTTTGGTAGGCTTGATGTCGCGAAAGCAATATAAGTAATATGAGTAATAACGTAACAAGTAATATGAGTAATAACGCGTTTTATAAGAGCAAAGGAACAACCAGGCTTCACAAAATGCGAATCGCATATCAAGTGGGTCGTTCAATTATCCAACACATATAAAATTTTGTTCTTCATCACCCATTAACAAGGACACATACCCACTTCAGGAGCGATTCTTCATCGTCATCCACCACTTAATGCAACGCTAAATTTGTTACAAGAGTTTAGCGTATACCACGCTTTCCTGAAGAATGACAAAGGATAACATAGTAAATGCCGGCTTACGAAGTAGAAATTATGAATATCTATGACATAGTCAGTACCCAGCAAGTGCGCTTCCAGAATTTACCATGCATGTTAGTGTAATATGCACGTATGCCCTGACGAAGGCCGGTCCCCGGCCGTAACGTTGGCAATAAAGCATCGTTTTTCGTTTGCTTGTTCGCTTCTTTTGGTGACTTATATATATATATATATATATATATATATATATATATATATATATATATATATATATATATAAATATATATATTGTAGGCATCTATTATGCGCTTCATCCTCATCTAAACAGCAGTCAATCATCATCATATGTTCTGGCTGACAATCATCATCTGCTTGGCACGAGCACCGTTGCGCTTGTTCGTTCCCGAGTTCACGGCCAATAAACCTCGCTACAACCGAGTCGTCATACGTGGTGGAGGTGGATTGACGTTCCCAGTACCTCTACTTACAACGCCTACTCGCTGGAGCTCCGTTCAGGCCGCCGCTTGGACCCTCAGTCCGCCAACATGTCTCAGAGTGAGTGGGTGGACGCCCTTTCGGCTCCCGTCTCTGCGCCGCAAGCCGTCACTGCGCCGCAAGCCCCTCCTCTTTACATCGTAAACCACCAGCGTGACCCTCCGATCTTCGCTGGTCTCCGCGGCGAAGATGCGGAGGACTGGCTCGATAACTACGAGCGGGTAAGCGCAACTAATCACTGGGACGACTCTAACAAGCTCCGCCGAGTATCGCTTTATCTCACGGGCGTTGCCAAGACATGGTTCTTGAACCATGAGATCGACCTCACCGACTGGCCTGCCTTCAAGCAGCAGCTTCGCCAAGTATTCGGCACGCCAGCCGTTCGATCCGCTCTAGCGAGGAGGGCCCTAGATACTCGCCAACAACATCCCGGCGAGTCATACACATCTTATATCGAGGATGTCCTTGCGCTTTGCCGGCGCGTCAATTCTTCGATGTCCGAGTCGGACAAACTGCGCCACATCCTGAAGGGCATCGGAAGCATCGCCTACAATGCCCTTGTTGCCCAGAATCCTTCTACTGTCACGGACGTCGTCTCTACGTGTCAGCGTCTCGACGAACTTGATTCTGTTCGCCTTCAGTCGGGCAATAGTGAACACCGTACCGCAGACCGGGACCTGCGTGACATGATACGGGAGATCATACGAGAAGAACTTCAATCAATGGGCATCTCACAACCTTCTCCATCTGTCACACAGCCTTCAAGCATGGCCCTCCGTGACATCGTAAGGGAGGAACTAACATCATTCACCGGTCCAGCCTACGTCCAGCCACCTCCGTCTAGCCCTCCAACGTACGCGCAAGTTGCGGCCGCGCTTCCTCGCAACGTAAACTCTACTTCACCGCTGCCATCATTCACGCCGGTTGCTGCTGCACCACCGGTCCACTTCCGGCCAATCCCACCCGACCCTCCGTCAGTCCACTTGAATGCGCTATCTCCCGGTGTGCCGAACGCCCTCTACTACCCGCCTTGGCGCCCGTCTCGCCCAACATGCTTTTACTGTGGATATCGTGGCCATATATCGCGCTTCTGCCGCAAGCGCCAGCAGGACGAGCGTCGCGGGTACGACATGCGTGAACGGGACTTTTCCAGAGGGGATTCTTACGCTCGGCGTTATTCATCTGGACAGCAGCGGTCTCCATCTCCGCCCGCGTCGACTGAGACGCGGAACACTTACCGTTCAAGCCGACGCCGATCACCTTCGCCCTTCCGTCACTCCTCCTCTCCTCTTCGGCCAGCCTCGTTTACTACTGATAACCGGTCGGAAAACTAAATGATGCAGTTTTCGGAGGAGAAACTGCATGTAACAGTAGGACTCATATTCCTCCAGCACGCCCGTTCAACATGGTTTCTGTTACGTTAGAAGGAGTTCTCGTGGACGCTTTGGTGGACACCGGTGCTACAGTTTCTGTGATTAGGTATGATTTGTGCAAACGCCTGATGAAAGTAATGACACCTTATAATGGACCCAATCTAGTCGAAGCCCAGGGGAACGCTATCCGCCCTTTTGCTCTTTGTACTGCTCGTGTGTTTATTGATGACATTTTGCATTACATCGAGTTCACTGTGCTTACCCGGTGCTCTCACCAGCTAATTCTAGGGTGGGACTTCCTATCTTCTTCTTCAGCCGCTATATGTTGTGGTGAACGGATTCTGCACCTAACTAATACGGACTCCATGTTCGACGAAGGCGTCTACAAGCCTCTACGCCTGTTCGCTCGCGAAGATCTCGAACTACCGCCACACGAAGAACAAATTGTGACCCTGATCTCTAAGGACATCGACCATTGACGTCTTGGTGTCCCCTTCGTCGACTTGCGTCGCAAAAGGCATAGCCCTTGCATCAGGTGTCGTACGCTTTCACCATGGCTCCGCGCTCGTCATTGCTACGAATGAAACGCCAGAGAAAGTTCTCCTGCCAGAGGGCACTGCAGTAGCCTGTGTTGTGGATGCTGAGCCTGTCAGCGTCACGCCACTTAATCCTGCCTCTACCAACGACCGTTCTATGAGTAAGCCTGTCTCATCCTCTCCCTTCACAGCTCTTATCAGTGATGACTTAACAGCTATGCAGGCGCAGCAGTTGCTTGCGTTATTAACGAAACACGCCGATTCTTTCGACACCTGCTCCTCAACGTTGGGCCGAACTACCACTGCAGCGCATCGCATTCAGACGGAGGGAACATCTATTGTACATCGCCGCCCGTACCGCGTGTCTCTCGCTGAGCGAAAAATCATCGAGGAAAACGTCCCTGACATGCTCCAACGAGAAATAATTCGTCCATCAACTAGCCCTTGGTCATCCCCTGTTGTTTTGGTACAGAAAAAAGATGGCTCCGTGCGCTTTTGCGTTGATTACCGGGCACTTAACAACATCACACGCAAGGACGTATACCCCATGCCACGCATCGACGACGCCCTTGATTCACTGCAAGGCGCCGAATACTTTTCAAGCCTTGATTTGCGTTCGGGATATTGGCAAATTCCCATGCACGATGACGACAAAGAAAAAACGGCATTTGCAACCTCCGATGGCCTATACGAATTTAACGTG